TTTCATTATTATAATATTTTGTTGATTTTGTTTATCAAGATCATTGAAATCGTGGGTGATGAAAAACTCTGCTCCAATGAGGATCTTGGAAGATACTTCCATCAGGTGGTATACCCCCAAGGAATAAAAAAGTATCAAGTGAAGCATTCACATGCAACCACGGAAGATGGAGAGCCCATAATCACCACCCTCGTTATGGATGCAATTAACAGCAAAGATTTCACTCGAGGATCAGTACGTACAAATTGAGTTTTTTTTCTTGACCTGTTATGTACCTCACTTTTAATTTTAAGAAGTCATCTAGCATCACAGGTAAATATAACCAGACAATGTTGTATGCAAAATAACTTAATTTAACCAGTCCACTGAATGTACCTAAACCTCCAGGTGAGGGGAACAAGAAAATGGGGTCCATAGATCGTTGGTGAAATTAGAGAGAAGTCAATATTATGTATGTCTCGACATTAATTTCCAGTTTCATTTGGGTTCGACAAATACAGATTACTTTGTTTATTTTAATCGCTGAATCCTTCATGTGAATTATATCAATTTTATGATGGCAGTTTTTCTACCAGATCGTGTGGGTAACCTCTGTCCGATAATTGTTTCTTAAAATTTGAACTTTACCAGAAAAGGTAGTTTCTCAGGAGTTTGTTCTCAGGATAAATTATCATGGTCGAGCTTCACCTAAGGCTACGAACAGCAGACTTTTCTCCTCGCTCATCGCCACTGAGGGACATTTTACCAGGAGAACGTCTGTGACTCAGTGACAGAAATTCCATACTGATGATGCAAAATCTGTCTGGAATCCGGTCAGAAGCGCTAATTGGTTGACGGAGCAGTTTCATTGTTCTAGCTATTGTTTACAAACGACAGACAAAAGACAAAAGGCAGCAAAGGTCAAATGTATGAATCTCGAACAAAACAGCCAATATGTGTGGAATATAGTCTTCTCTAGAAGAAGCATTTCAGTTTTGCTGGAGCTTATTTGCAGATAAACACAACACTTTTCCAAAATCGACCAGGAGAAACATAAAATTGAACAAATTTGCATTTGAAACCCCATGACTACCAGATTTATTATGTAAACATTAATTTACGTCATCACTATGGAATTTCTGTCGCTGAGTTGCAGACATTCCTCCTCGCGCAACGTCCCTCAATGGCGATGAGTGAGGAGAAACGTCTGCCCTTCACAGGCTAGCTTTACCTTTAATGAATCAGTGTTAAACACTTGTTGGTTGACAAGAGATGAAATGTGCGTAATGGGAGGTTTCCCTTTCTTTGGTTTAAAAAGTCTCTCAACACCAAGGATAGACTGTTCCTTATTCAAGTTTCTGGTGTTTTGGTAAAAATTTCTTACTTCAAACTGTGTGGTATTCAGATCGTAAAATTATTGCAAATGATTGAACTTTAACAAATACATAATGTTTACAATTTCACGTCAGCTAGAACTACAAAAATTAATGTTATTTGCCACAGTTCAAACATTATCTCTCTGGTACTGTATAAAAATGTGCAAATCAGAATGGCTAGATTAACCTTGCTGATTGTTATATTATATCCTCCTGATACTATTTTGTGTTTTTCTTACTGCAGAAATCACTGCTGGGTGAGTTTTAGTGGTTAGAGTGTCGCAAATAATGAGGCATTTGGCCTACTTTCTACCCCTCACAGTAAGCTAGTATTAGTGTTTTCATACAAGAAACTTATAAAGAAACGTGTAACTCTCACATGTTTGCTTTGTCTAATTCTCATGATTTTTCGTATTTGAAAGAACCATATTTGGAACGAGAGGAAAAGATAACTTACCAATCAAAGTTAGTAATTGACATGACGTAATATAACTTTACATTCCTGCCCACGTTAAAAACAACAGCTGACAAACAGGGTAAAAACTCTCGAAAGCCGAGTAAGCTTTAAAAGGTTGAAACCAGGAAGCATACCGAAATACTGAGCAGGAAATTGGCATACCACCCAGGCCAAATGCGACATTATGAAACCCACTGATGACCACGCATCTTCTTGATACCTCAGTGACCTTGATTTGAGCAGTAAACTTATACTCCACATAGACTTTTAAAATTCTCATATTTAAAGCCTAGAATAAACCGTAAAAGATATTTTTGAGTAAATTTTGTTAGCTACAATTGTACGTCTCGAAAAGTGTCCAAAAATTGAACCTGAAAAACTAGTATCTATTGTTGGCGTCTTTGCTTGAGAAGTTTGCTTGGCTTTTACTTAGAGAATTCATTTTCTTAAAAGATATCTCTCTAGTGTACTGCTAATACTTTTAACCACTTTTTAGTGCAGTATAGCTAATCCCTTATTGTTGTCTGTATTAGAATTCTCTGAAAAACAAGTAGCAGCTACATTTTGGAACGATGAGCTGGAAATGGAAGTTAGGAGAGTAGGGCGGCTCGACTTTTCTGAGTTATTCCATAAAAACAAGGACAGGGAGACAGTGATGGAGGAAATCGAAAGAAGAAGATCTCAGTCAGTTTATGTTTACAGTTCTGAGGATTGTTCACAAGACTGCAAAAATTAAGAGGGGTATGTTTATCAAGTGAATTAGTTACTTTAAATGGTGCATTTTTAGTAGGATGCTGTGCCTGTTATCTAGTAACCTGCGATCAGGCGATTTTTTTTTTGGGCGGGGGGAAAAAAATACGCCTGATACAATTGTTTGTCAATTCGTCTGCATCTAGTCCAGAACGGTCACATCCGGTCTAAAAATACTCTGAGCAAGACGAATTTTCATCATGGCGGCCTTAGTGCAAGAAGGAGAAAGCGAGTTTGTATCAGCTTTAAATGCGGCTCTCGAGGGTTTTGTGCACAGGACTCTTAAAGAGCAACAAAGGGAGTGTGTTCTGCGAATTGTTTGTGTAAAAAAAGATGTTTTCGCAGTGCTTCCAACGGGATTCGGCAAAAGCGCCATCTATCAGTTGATACCAAAAGTGTTGTCGCATATGGGGCATACTGCAGATGACATTAAAACAACTGTTGCTGTAGTAAGTCCCTTGGACTATATTCGAAAGGAACAGGTTGCTGCCATAGAAAAGTTAAACTTTGGAATCAGCTCTGCAGCTATCGGTGAATCCAATTTGAACGACAAAGAAATCGAAGAAGGAAGATTTGAAATTGTCTATGGAAGCGCTGAACAATGGCTGAGCTTTGCAGTTTGGCGCTCTCCATCAGACTAAGGTGTTGGTTGTTGATGAAGTCCATACTGTGGCAACATGGTAAGTATTTTATCTTGTTTTTCGTGCCAAGTAGATTTTCTCGTTGGGTGGATTATATAATGTACCTAAAGTAATCTACCTAATGTAATAACAGAATTATTCTGAAGAGTTCTTCACAGTTTAGCATGAAATTTGTGCAGATGTTTTATCAATATTTGTGGATTAGCAATTTTCTGTGTGTTGTGGGAAAAGCTGGATATTAATAACTTTCTCGCAGGATCTACTTTTGAGTCAATTGTTTTGTCTATGAATCGGAACGAAAAAGTTGAGATGAACCAAGATGATTCGTACCCAAAGCTTAGATTATTGATTTTGCAATAACAACTTTTTACATAGTTTGTTAAAACTAAGGACCTGTTTTAATTTCATCTAACTTCTCGTGTGAAGACGAGTTAACATAGTCAGTTTTTTGCAAGTTGACATGACATATAAATTGGACCCAGCCGTGAAAAGTGGGAACAAGCAACATTGTTATATATCAGACGGTTGTCTACATCTGGTTATAATTTATCAGCCTTCGTTCTGATAAATGTTTAAATTGTTTACATTATGATTAAAAATGGACTATCAAAACGGCAGTTGGTTACGAATCAAAAAGAGTAAATTTAGCGTTGGGCACCTCAACTTTTATTGGCCAATGGAGAATACACCAAATGACAAAACATTCTGTGGACTAAAAAGTAAATTTTCATTGTCAGAATACACCAAATGAAAACCCACAAATTTTATGAGATACTTGAAATAAGTCCATACTGTGGCAACATGGTAAGTATTTTATCTTGTTTTTCGTGCCAAGTAGATTTTCTCGTTGGGTGGATTATATATAAATCAGTTTGGTTTTATGTAAGCTTAAGGTCATCTTGCATCTGTACAGTTGGTTGCCACTTCTGTTTCAGTTTTTGCTGGTCATCCATAACATTGAGTTCTGTTAAGAAAACCGTTCACGTACAGAGTTAATTATTTCATTCAACTAGGGGACACCATCTGTCCACGATTTTGTGGTTTTTCATTATAAAAATTGTAGTAATATATGCTGTATCATCATGTACATGACTGCAGAAAAGTAAGCCCAAATAACAACTGGAGTCAAGTGAAATACAGAGCATTTTTTGCAACCACTCTGGACAAATGAAGATTTTCATTTACTTACTATTAGTAACACTTTTTTGTCAAAGGGGGCTTGGAAAGAAAGGAAAGGCTGCCTTTCGGGAGGCTTTTGGACGAGTGGCTGAGTTGCGATCCTGTCTGCAAAGTGGAACACCTCTTCTGGCACTGACAGCAACTGCCAACAAGGAAATGAGGAACCGTTTAATCAAGTGCCTTGGTATGAAAAGTGGTGATATCATTATTGTCAGCCCTAACAAGGATAACATCAGATTTACTGTCTTGCAAGCAGACAAACAATTTCTATGCTTCAACTGGCTGCTGTCATTGTAAAGGGAGGAGAAACAAAACACCCCCTTCTCAATAGTATTTTGTAAGACAGTAAATGACATTGTTTCCCTGCTGACTTACTTCCTGATGAAACTTGGAAACTCTGGACTTTATGTTTATGGTGAGGGTCCAATTCATGAGAGATGTCTGCTGGGTGTTTACTATTCGCAGACTCCTAAACATCACAAAGATTGTGTTTCTGGAAATGTCAGAGTGGTTTTTGCAACAACATCCTTGAGTATGGGCATTGACTTTGCACATGTAAAGTATGTTATTCACTACGGGCCATCTAACAACTTGACATCGCATCTCCAGGAAGCAGGGCGAGGTGGGAGAGATGGAAACCAGGCATTTCATATAACATTATATCATGGAAGACATCTGATAACTTGTGAAGGAGATATCAAAACTGCTGTGAAACATTCATTGAAGTCATGCTGCCGAGTTCAATTTCTTCGAAGTTTCGATGAAACAGTTTCTCCTCTGGAACCACAGCATGACTGCTGTAGTGTATGTCACCAAAGTTGCAACTGCCTGGGTGATGGCTGCGGTAAAGTGGTTCCAGAATTTGATTTTGTACCAGAAAGCATGGAAGATGTGAAAAAATCGCGAGATGTTTCTGAGAATGACAAAGAGTGTGTTAAAGAAGCCCTGAAAGAAGTCCAGCGATCACTGTCCTGCCAGACTCAAGTGCGTATGTTTGATGACTCTGCTGTCATTTCTCATGGTTTTTCGGATAAGCTCACTGACAAAATTGTGAGTAATGTCAATTTTATTTACAATGTGCATGATGTAATTGAACACTGTAATCCACCCACTCTTAAGGTGGCAGTCATTATTCTTGAAATTGTCAAGGAAACATTTGAAGATGTGGAAATCACGGATGAGCTTTATTCTTTAGTTTATGCAAAGGAACAAACACATTTACTGGACAAACTAAATGCCTCCTTAGGACGTACAATTGACCTGGAAATGTTTGATGATTTTCTGGATTTAGAAGAAGATTTATTGCCGTAAAAAATGATTATATTAATTTTTGTCATTAATACTAGGGTAGCATTAGTGCAGGGTTTCATTCTTAATTTTCAAGAGTGCTTAATGACAACTTATTTCCTGGCAAAGATCATTGCAGAACCGGATTCGTGACAATTATGACTCTCATTAAATTAGGCGGAAAGCAGCACTTGAGCAGTTTTAACTTTAAATGGACAGTGATCCTTCAGAAAGGATGATTTAATGAATATATGTCAGGTGCATCTCTGGAAATAAAATCACAAATAATGGTTCATAGAAAAGTGGGAAACTTCATATTGAAACCAACATTTGAACAATGAAATAAGTGCCCCCTTCAAATTATGAGCCCAGAAATTTGAAATAGAGTGAAGGACCACTGTTCATTTAAAGTTAAGACTGCTAAAGTGCTGCCTTCTACCTAATGTAATAACAGAATTATTCTGAAGAGTTCTTCACAGTTTAGCATGAAATTTGTGCAGATGTTTTATCAATATTTGTGGATTAGCAATTTTCTGTGTGTTGTGGGAAAAGCTGGATATTAATAACTTTCTCGCAGGATCTACTTTTGAGTCAATTGTTTTGTCTATGAATCGGAACAAAAGGAACCAAGGAAGCTTATTATTTACAACTTTTACTGAACAGGACCTGTTTAAGAGACACATAGTCATTTTGCTTGTGATACAAGCAACATTGTATATATCAGACGGTTGTCTACATCTGGTATCAGCCTTGTGACAAATGTTTACATTCTGTGGACTAAAAAGAGTAAATTTTGCAGCAACTTATTGGCCAATGCAGAATACACCAAATGAAAACCCACAAGATTTTCATGTCAGATACTTACACATAGAGTACTGAAATAAAACAGTTTTCCCACTATAAAGAGTTAGTGTTTTGTCACTTCATAAATCGCTTTCCAGTCATGAAACCTGTCTTTTGCCCACTGAAACAAATCCCTGTAGTCAATGTCGAGGACATTGGACTGAAACTTTTGGAATGATGGATAGCCCTTTCTACCAGGTGATGTCTCAAACACCTTGCCACTGATCAGGTCTTTAACTATAATGCTAACTGCTTCCTCTGGATCTGTGCTTCCATGGTGCCCACTTCTTTTAACTTTGTTGCAATCCTTGTAAATGGTCTCCATTACTTTATTTAATGGCACAATTGATTGCGCTGCACGTTGTAAAGAGGCACTAGTGACATTAGCACCCATCCCCTTGGCTAACCTTTTAAGCAAAAGATTAAGATGTTCCATGAATAAATGAAGTGGAATATTCCATTAAGGTTTCTTAAACACATACAATATTCTGTCACCACTGTAACAAAATTTGTTGTCTGAATTATTTTTTACCCATTCTTTTCCCTTTTTTGCTTGTCAGTATTTGTCAGAAAAGCTTTCTTAGTTTCTATTTTTTCAAGTTATAGTTATAGTACCTGACGTTTTGGGTCTTTTCTCCTTTAAGTGTATCCAATACAGAGAGCACGTCAGTATCTTCCAAAAGGTCATCCTGGTTCCGTGGAAGCATTTCCTTACAAGCTCTGGAAACTGCATCACTGTAATTCTTATATTCAGAAACAGCATCCAAGGAAAAATCGACTGTACAAATTTCCATTGCATTTTCATCTTTTTCGCTGAGACTGTCTATCACTTCTTCAAGTAATTTGATTTTGTTGTGGCGATTCACTGTATCAATTTTCCATTCATTTACTGACTTGTCAAAAGATGCAGCTGCTTTTTTTTGCATATTACGCAAGGTATTGGGATCACTGGAAAGGCCTAACTTGTGGAAGCAGTCGACTTCTTCCTTCTTGCAACCCCCGAGGACTAGAATTGTGTTACTTCGATACGCAAAGTTGGAAATTAGCATCCAAAGATTGAGGTAACTGGAAATAATTAATGCCTCTTGGTTGACAGGATTTTTCACTTTTTGGCAACCTTGAACAGATGCCTTAACAAAGGTATGCAGTGAGGGGATTTTCTCTTCTACATCTTTAAGTAGACTTTCATTAGTGAACTCCGCTAGCTTCTCTAAATTACTACGATATTTGAACACGTTGGAACGGTCTTTCGAGTAACGTTTGATCTCCCTTTTTACTTGTTTCCCCAGTTCAAGCAGGACTTTACTGTTCAGTGGCTCAAAGTTCATAACACCACGTGCAGCAGCTTGGTAATTTTCTAAAGCCAAATTTGTGACAAGCATTTTTTCTTCAGGGTTAGTTTCATGTTCAATGACTCGTCCATTTGGGTATGCAATAAATATCTGGAAAAAGAAAAAGAAGGGAAAGTGATTTACCGCCAGTACATCGGTAAAAGGTCTCATCGCAAATTATTTGAAGCACGTTAGAATATTAAAAGGTTTGAAATAACATGTTGGTGAATTGGCAACAGAATTTTACTTTCACTCCTTGACTGAGAACACATTCATTGAACACATCATTGTAAACTGCGATCAGCCGTTCTTTTTTCTTTTTCTCTGTTTTTTTTCCGTACAGTTTCGCCAAAAAAACCCCGCAGCCTGATCGCCGATTTCTAAAACTGGAAAATAAATAATTGTCCAACTTATCTTTCAGCTTTGTGAACAATACATGGAATGATAAAGGGCACTGCAAAAGAGAACGGCATTATCTTCTTATAACGTCTAAATCTTTTCTCTTTCTTTCCTTTTGTCAATTTATGTCAATTATTGTTTGAAAATGGCGGCTAAAAACCTGAGAGCGAAGAAAGTTGAAAGGGCACAGCGTGTATCAGTTAGTTACATTACAGTAACCAAGATCACGGAATATTCCAAACAAAGTAATCCTCACTTCTGGAATATAAACATAACATAAGTGCAAGCAAAAAGAAATAGAATAGGTAAACCCCCACCTTGACAACTGCTGACGAGTAATCATCTTTCACATTAGTTTCTGTCACTGGTAAACACGTTAAGTTTACAACAGAATCGTCCAGCTTTTCTTGCGCCGACCAGGCAGAATTCAAGTGAACAAGCGTTTTCCTCGATCTACTCCCACCTTCTGCTCTCCGGTACGAAGAACCTTTCTGCTTTTTAGAACCGGGAGTTAACCCGCTTGGTGAATAATTCTGACTGTGAAGACGTTTATTTCCACCACCGCTACATTCATCGTCGTTTGTTTCGCTCGCAGAAATGATCTTTGACATAAACCCTTCTTCCAGCTCATGAAACATAGTACAACAGTTGACAATTTTCCTTGCACATTTTTTGCACAGTGACGAGTCACTTTCTGAGGTACAATCAATATCTATTCCGACGCTCTTAATAAGATCGGAGAGGATGATAGTTCCAGTTTTACAAAAACTTTTCCCCCAAAACTCGTTGTTTTTCGTTGGCTTAAAGAGAGGAACGGTGCCTTCTCCAGATGAAACATTAATGGCACAAAAGTGGCATGTGTTGTTCACCTTCTTAGGAAAACTAATCTTAAACTGCCATACGACACGACGCAAAATAAGCCCACTTAACTCGCCTCTGCACAGCTCGTCCAGAGACATTTTGCGCCTTAATCTGTAAATTTGCTGCCAACGAAGCTACTTCCGGTAAATTTTGATTGGCTCATGCTTGTCTCATGACGTGGCCGACATTCCCGTTGACAGATCCTTTAATTAGGGGGCGGCAGACGAATTGACAAACAATTGTAACAGGCGTATATTTTTTTCCCCCACCAAAAAAAAAAAAAATCGCCTGATCGCAGGTTAGTTATCTAGTGCTTATGATAACTGGTAATAAAATACTTCCAGGCAATGCAGAGTCTATTTATTACTTTTCCACAGAAGATTTTGTTACCTTTATTTTTTGCTAAACTATTTCATCATATAGTTGCATGTTTCCTTTCATGATTTGTTGAGACACAGGTATTGTTGTTTACTGTATCATATGTAAAATATCATTTGAGTGCATCGCTTGTTTATTATTATAAATGTAAATATACCTGGATTTTTGAAAACCGGGTTAACAAAAATATCAACTCATTCTACTACTTGGTAAGTTAAAACAACAAAACTCAGTCAAAGGCCAATTAAAAGCGTGTATCTGACACCGGGCAGTAAGTTACTGGTCCCTAGAGAAATTCCAACGAGTCCAAATTTAAAATGACGCAAATTTTAGAACATTTATTCAATAAATTGACTACGCAAAGTTTCAAACCGCTGTCATTTCAATTTTTAACTTGTGTGAACTGGAGCAAAAGAGTGCCTAGTTAAGGGCTTACATAACAACTCAAATAGTTCGCAAAACACTACCTTTTTCGCGGTCCAATAAACAATAGGATTCTGCATGGAATAGACAACAAATTGAATGAAACATAGTACACAAATTATCACCTTCTTATCTGCAAAAACCGGCCTATGATGCAATGCCATTAGAGCCTGCTGAAACTAGACCTAGATCCAATTTTCCTGAGTGGAGAGTTTCTTGTCCAAGGTACAGTCAACTAAGCTAAACACTGACAAAACAATATTAATGGCTGGCACAGACTATTTTGGCGAAACTGCAGTTCAACCACGCGATCACATACCTGTCAACACCATGCGGAAATCACACAATCAAACACTTTCGTGGCACTGATAAGACTATCCACAACCACGCATAATCTTCTCACGTTTAACATAAGCAAAATATCATTGAATAACTCGGAAAAACTCAGCCTATTGCCAGAAAAACACCTCTGGACTTTTCTGTTACACTCGCCTTATTCAAGTTCGCGGATGTACAGTCACACGGTCAGCAGATCACCTTAGCCTTGGCCCGGGTCAGAGTTCACAGGCAATTTTGCTCTCACCTAATTCATTTGACTCCTAAGAGCCTGTTCCCGAGGCCAAAGACTTAGTGGTCAACTTCGAAAAGCAAACAATACCGTACCTTTCTGTCTCAGCCCGGATCAGGGTGATTGATCCGTTTAGCCAAATGAAACGAGAATATAATACGATATTGGACAAAGCAGACTCTGTGAATCCAGCCCTCATTTTGCAGTCAACTTCCTTAAGGGGATCTGCTTAATGTTCATACATGCATATTTGTCCATTCCTCCTAAGAGCAACTTGTGATTTTAAATACAGTCATCACTCTCATGAGCAACCAGGTCTGTGCACGGTTCGGCCAACCCTCTTTTTAAATTTTCTGTTCTACGTTGAGTAAACAGAAGAATATGAATCAACCTCTTTTTTGATTAATTCGTTTACAATGTTACAAGTGTCTTAATTGCTTTTGCTTTCAAAGCACCTTTTTATTGAAATTTTATAATACGACAACGCCAAATAATTTTGGCACTTAAAAATAATGGTATTTCTTGATAGATGATAGATGATAGATGATAGATAGTTTATTAAAATATCGAACATGGCAGTCCGTAGACTGAATTGCGTTACAATTACTTAAAACTAAGATTAAATAAATTCCAAAATTATAAATACTAATTGAAATTATAACAAAAAACATTTCTATAAAAATACGAAAAACTCTCTATATATAACTAGGTACAAACTAGTCCAAAAAATTATGTACACATACTTCTATAAATCTTATCCCTCCAAAACGAAAATTACTCAATATCTTCTTTTTACTGTTTTATGCTATCTTTTTCCAAAAAAGATAAACAAAATTTGACTTCCGTTTTATCGTTTTTACTTTTTTCGAAAGAAGAAACAAAAAACGAACACGCAGGGCTGGGAGCTGGGCATATCGCGCCATTTCAGAAAATATGAGCCGGCGCAAAATTGCTCAGCAATCACTATTTTTAATCGTTTTCAAAATGGCAGCTCTTTTGGTGAAAATGCACGAAACTGTGAAAGACTACATCGACTCCAGTGAAAATCAACCTCTAGTTACTGAGATCGGCAGCAAACTTCTTCAGTTGTCTAGAGCCGTCATCAAAAAGCACACATTTGACGGTGAGAGAGCTTATAAATTTCATTTAGCTCAACCAGCAAGGATGTTATTGAGGAGTTTCACGTACCGGCACAAAACTATCCTGAGAAAATTGAAGCGAAAAACACTAGCTTCAAGACCATGGACTGTGTTTTCCTCCTGGAACTTGCCTTTGAAGGTATTTGATTGCTTCAAAGTTGTAGCTGTAACACCCGAGAATGGTGGTTCGATAGTAAAGAACACACGTGCTGTCCAAGAAATTTATATTACTGATATGGGAAAGTTGAAAGGTCTATTTCTCAGAGTGCCAAATAAAGTTGCAAAAGGATGCATCAATGAAAGTGATATCTTCATGAAAAAAGAAAAGGATGGATCCTATAGTCACGTTCTGGTAACTAAAGATCATCCAGTGATATTCAAATATTCAAAGAACTTAGAGATCATCAGAGTCAGATTAAGATATGGGCACTTCAACAGAGTAGGAGTTCCTCAGCACTCCTTGGCATCAAAAAATTAAAAATTAAATACACAGTACTCCTTACTCCTAAGGGAGAAATGACTGACATGATGAAAGCGTTTGTTTTAAAGCCTGGGAATGCATGTTACATAATTTTTTAGCTGTATTTTTGGCTATCTAGTCCTAGTACTCAATTACTAAAATTTAAAAGGTCATGAACTCAAATTTTGATTTAATTACCCATTTGAACCAAATGGGTATCGCTTTGCAATTTCACCTTGTAACACAGAGCTCTGGATATCCATAGATGTCATGAAAATTCTGGACATGGTATCTAAATTTAACTGTGTTGATATCAAAAGTTGCCTCTGCAACGGTATACATGTAACTGTAAGAATTGTTAACTGTTGATTAATGAGAAGAGTTTTGTTGTTGTCAGTGGGGTTTCCACAGCTATGCTTTGGATGCTTT